AAAATATATAGTACTCGATTAAGAAAATTGGTTTGTAATTCTGTTTTTTTTTTTTGTGTCTTTCGTCACTGAGAAGGATCGAACCCTGGATGATTATCCGGCCAATGAGTTGGATTGAAGGAAGAGCCTCCAGCCTGGTTGTCGTTATCTCCGGCGGTGGCGGCTCCGCCCCAAAAACTGGGGTTTGTGGCGGAGGAGCTGGCGGCGCCGCCTCTGTTGATGAAGGTCTGAGTCCAGGAACCTAGAGGCCTCGGCGGCATGGTCATGGCTGAAGGGAAGAATTCATTCTGGGCCTGGAAATATTGTTGTGGCGGCAGCGGCGGCGGAGCTCTGAAAACCGCCATATTATTTGCGTCGTATTGGCTGTTGTTGCCGCCGCCACCACCACCCAAGTTCAGCGTGGTGGCCCGTTGGTTGATCCCGGCTGGTAAAGAGTGCATGGCGGCCAGAGAGGACAAGAACGATCCGCCGGTGTAGAAAGAGTTGCCCATCGACAGCGGCATCACCGGCGGCATAGCTCGAAACCCTTGTCCACCGCCGCCGCCGCCTGGAATGAAACCGCCCGCCAGATTCTGAGATGGAATCCCGGCTACTGATGAAGATTGAGCTCTGGAAGTCTCGCCGGGGGAGGGCTTCGGGCGCTTGCTTTTCCGACAGCCGCCGCCGACGGGGACGTTTCTTAGGGTTCCGCCTTGAGTCCAGTACCTCCTGCATGCCTTGCAAAAGTAGCGCGGCTGCGATAGGCTGTAGTTGTTATAGTAACAGAACTTAGTATTGGCAGAATCACAGCGCGGGCACTTCTGCAGCTGCGGCGGCGGCGGCGGCCCCTGATGATTATTATGCTGGTGGGCCGCCGGCATCTGAACCTCCGGCTGCTTCCCCCGCCGCACCGACTGCTGGAATTTGTCTTGATTATTATTATTAATATTATTATTATCAGGTCTCTCTTGGTCCATGTTTTTCTTGACAACAATAGAACAGTGCATATATATATATAATGATTGATATATATATATAACTAGTACCTGGGCGTGGTATATATATAACAGAGAAAATAAGGGTTTTCAGGTGTAGAAGCTTTTAGTGCATGTGGGCTTGAATTGCAGATTATTCAACGCTGCGGATATGTATGTAATCCACACTTGTCTCTCTCTGTAATAATTATGGATTTCCTGAATCACAAAATTCAGTTGGCTGAATTACATGTATTCATGAATGAGGGTTTGATTTCTTCCACACCTACCCACCTCACAATTCCAGGTTTTTTTTTTTTGTATTTTCCCACAATACGAAAGAGGCCAAATTAAATTTCAGAAATAGAAAATCTGTCTCAAACCCAACAAAATCTGGGCAGATTTTTTTACTGCCCACAAAAAAAAAAAAAAAAAAAAAAAAAAGGAAAAGAAAGAAAGAAAAAGAAGTAGAGAGAGAAAGCTAATTGGTTAGGGTGGAAATTAGGTTTGTGATGAGAGAGAAATTATGACACATGCATTCTTTCTTGTTTGTTCTTGAGCTTTAGAAGCCTTTAAGAAATTAAAAAGATGAAGAGACCAATACACAAATAGTATAAAAGAAGGGAGCTGACTTTAATTTGTACGGACACCATGATTAATATATAACTAACCTTAATTAATGATCAGAATAAAATTCATGTCATCACACATATAATTGAGATGAGATTTTTGTTTAGGGTTTATAAGGTGATTTAGAGGAGATAGATAGGTGGGTGGGATAATTAATAGGGTGTGGTGTTTTAATTTCTGGACCACGAAGTGGTGGTGATGATGAGGGGGATTGGAGACTGACAGAGACGGCGGACGGCGGCGGCGGAGGAGCAATCGGAAGTGGTGGTGGAGGTGGTGGTGTCAGCTTTATTGTCTTGGTCTTTCGACAACAACTATAAATTAACATACACTGTCTTTTTCTCTCTCATTCCACTTTAATTTAATTTCAATTTCTCTTGCCACTTTTTTCTTCATGAGTGATTCTATTCTATTCTATTCCATTTTTCTGACATCAGTTTTAGGGGTCTGTTTGGACGCCTACCCTTTTAATTTGCTAATTTATCCAATTAAATTAATTAATTTTCTTTAATGATTAGTGATTACCATTGTAATTCATACTTATATATATGACTAATCTTAAATTGATTGACATTAATGAAAGTGGCATTAAGATATTCATCAAGCCGGATTCGGTTGAACTCACCAATGTTACTAGAAATGTCGTGTACAAGAAAGTATTTCATCGAATTTGAAGTTAGAAAATATTTTCATATTTATCAGTTCTTCATGTAACATGTCCTCTTTTTATTTTTAACAACTTATTCTTTGGCAGATATTTCTTCTCTATATATTTGCCCCGTGCGATGTTATTTTCAGTCATGTCCCTAGGATGATTAGTGCAAATCTTATTATCTTTAAGATTTATTTTTGACGATATACTAATATTTAATATTATTCTTACATTGTAACTATGAAGAATATGATACTTATAACATATTTTTAATATTGTTGGTCGATGAAGTTTTGTACTTAAATTCAATGAGCGTAATAATTGATATCTGTGTAAATTTATTTTTCAAACATGTATTTCCACTTGAAAATATGCCGCCCCGTGCATCACATGGGTGAATACTATTTAATGAAAGTAATGAAATAATAGTTGTCGAATCAACATATACTTAATAACAAAATCAACCTGTATATGACATTGGATTCAAGCCTACACCTCTCGCATTATTAATTTTGATAACAAGCATAATTATATTATAGTCATTCAACATTTAATAGTATTAGATTATCATGATATTATTACAATTATAGGTCCACCCTCATTTTTTAGGCAAAAGTATTGTTCACTCCTCTTCACACTAGATTCGAATCACCTCCTCCTCACATACGATCGCGATCGAGGCGTCATCGTCTTCGCATTAAAAAAATCCACCACCGTCGAGGAGTCTGGACATCAAAACACCTCCATCACTGTCGAGACACCACTGCAAACACCTCTATCGCCGCAATTGAAACAACCCTCCTCTCATATACCGACAATTTCCACATTTACGGTCCCGATAACCAACGCATCGCATGATAAAGCTTCTCCCATCCATTCGATATCCATTCGATACAGTCTGATGTTTTTGCTATGATCCATACATATAATTTTCAAGTAGAGAACTTAATTATTCCATATATATGTACATTACAATAAAATTCTACTAATTTGCTATAAAAAAAATTGCAAGCAAGGTGGAACATGCATATAATCAAAAATAGGTATATTTAATTTAAAGTAGCATAAATATGCATGAGACGACCATGTCAATATGTAATTGGAATTGTATTTTTTTTTTAATTTATTATTTTGTTGACAAATGAATTATAAGTGTATGTTGTGGGTATGGAGATGGTTGTATGTAGGTGACGATGTTAGAGAAACGGAAGGATGACGGTGCTCCGATTGGGATGGTTAGAGAGGTTACAACTGCTCCCCTATATATTTTAGGGTAAAGTTCATTTTACCTACTTGAACTATACCCAACGTATAAAATACCCCCCTGAACTTCGAAATGAACCGAATCAGCCCCTCTGTTAAAATTCCGTCCATACTTGCTGACATGGCACTTTGACCTTTTGAATTATATTTGCTGGCATTACAGTTGGCTTTTTTCAGACGATTTTACCCCTCCAGTGCACTTTTATTTATAATTGCTAATTAGAGGGGTTTTAGCCCAATTTTAATTTTGCAATTTTTCACAAATTAAATTTTTTTTTTCTCACCATGACAATTAATTCTTTACTACAATTTAAATTTCGATAAAAAAATTGTCACGTGTCTATTCCAAATTATATAAACCAGTTAATACAATTAGATGGTTGCCTTTTATTTTTCATCAAATAATTAAAATAAACTGTTGAATAAAAATAGTTCATTTTTATTTTAAATTGAAATTTAATTTTAAAATTAAAGTAATCCAATTAAATGGGAAAAAAATAATTAAAAAGAAGGCCCATCTTCCCAACGTCATCTCCTCCGCCGGATACCCCATATCACGGTGATTCCAACATTCATCTGCATCAAAGAAATTTTAGCAGAAAAAACCACTATGAAGTAACCCATCATCACTCCCTAATTCGATTTTTTTCAAGATTTCAATTCCTCGAGGACAAACGCCAATGAGAAACAAACTCGGAGGGAAACCAAACAGAACCCAATACAAGGTCCCAAAGTCGAAAATTGGGGCACACAAGAAAGGGGCTGATGTTTTAGCCGGATTCCGCCAAGATCTGGGCCGTACGGGGCGGAGCGAAGCCGGAGCTACGGTGGTTTCGCAACAATGAGTTCGAATTTCTTATGGGTTTCATCTTTCCGGCCGTTGCCGCTGACTGAAATCCAAATAGGGGTTTGGGTGGGAAGTGAACTGACTGTTTCATCTTCTACGGTGTGCGTGAGGGAGAAGAAAGAAAGGGGTGAGGGAGAAAAAAATGGAGAAATAATATGGATGGGCAAAAGTGTAAAAACACTTAAAAATTAACGGAGTTAAATATTTAACGACATTTAACGTTGACTCAAAACTCGGAGGGGCTGATTCGGTTCATTTTGAAGTTCAGGGGGGTATTTTATACGTTGGGTATAGTTCAGGTAGGTAAAATGAACTTTACCCTATATTTTATGTTATGTGCCCTCTTTCTTTTGTCTTCTACTACTTGACGGATTGACGGGTCAACCCATTTTTTTACGGGCCTTTTCTTATTTGGGCCAACCCAATTTTATGTTTCGGGCCTACCCAAATTCAGGCCCATATTGATTTTTCTGGACTGTTCAAATGTAAAGTGCTTGTACACTTCAGATAATGAGAGCCTAGTCACAAGCAACACGAATTATGATCAAATTACGAAAATTCCGCTCATGTTTCGATAATTATAGTCACCCTTCAACTATGTATTTTCTTACGAAAAACCCAGTAAATTTAGGGATGTTAATTCGATAAAAAACGAATCAAAATTTCGATACGCGAACATTTCTTTACCGAACTATATATACAATTTGGTTCGATAAAAAACCAAATTACAAAAATTTTATGTAAATAATTTAGATAAAAAAATGTGTGACTGAAGAAGTTTTTAGTAATTTGACCCTAATATGCCGCTGTTGGCCGAAAACCTACACGCAAGTGCACGTATCGTACAAGTAATATAGTGGACTATTAAGTCCGGATATCGAACCCACAGGGAATATTTAATTACTTAATCCTAGACGCTAAATTCTACCAATTGTTATCAAGCCCACCCTACACAGTCGAATTTTTAGAGAATTAACTAAATTAAACTAAATTAAAAAGCAAACAAAAACAAGAAAGCAATTAAAAACGAAGATTTAATCAAAGTAAACAAGCCTATGATTTTATTATTTCCCCTATGTGATTATTACTCCCCCAATTCCTTCAATTATGCAAGCAATTAACCCGGATTATTAACATGAGATGCTAAAATAATCATAACCCGCTTCCGCGTGTATTACGATTCTAATACTCTAGATTCAATTACTATATTCCTATAATACTCTAGATTCAATTACTATATTCCTATGCAATTAATTCTAGAACACAGCATTAAGCACAAATCTCAATAATGGCTACCTAAGAGATTAACTATATTCCTATGTTAATACCACAAAGGCTCTTGTACCACAGGTCTAATTATTAACCCGATCTTCCGATTCATGCGATTAACAATAACATAAAAGCACATAAGTTGATCAAGTTCATGCACTTAATAAAACAAGTAGAAGAAATAATCCGGAATTAAAACTTGCATAAAATCATAGAATTGGGTTCATAAATCCCACATAGGGTTCCAAATAAAATCCTAAAAATAAGAAATTTAGCTACTCATGATTAAAGGAAAAACACAAATAAAATAAGTCATAAACGATAAATCTATGCTTAGAGTCTTCGAATTCTTCGTTATTGCTTTGTTGCTCTCCAAATTGCGTCCAAAGATGGCCAATTGTGTGCTTGGATTTGTCTTATATAGGGTGAAGAACTTGGGGAAGAAGGCAGTTTCCTTGTGCAATTAAAATCCCTTTACTGCACAACTTCGGAGTCTCGGACGGGGGTCCCACGATTTGCACTAAAACTGGGACGGGATCCCAACTTTAAATCTTGAGAATTTTGATTTTTTCACTTTTGGCCCATATTTTCTCCAAAATTGCAGTTTTGACCCCATACTTTTCCAATTCTTCAATTTGTACCTAAAATACAATAAATCAACTTTTTAAGCACCAATTATCGTTAAAACACACCAAAAACTCAAATAAAAAGGTACAATAAAATGTAAAAATATACACTTAACAGCCGCCATGATCGAAGTAAATTAAATGTACTTCAAATAAACACACCAAAAATAGGAAAGAGTTAGCATTAATAAACAACAAATACATAATACAAGCTTACATGACCAAAAGTCAAACTCAAAAGCGATTATGAAATTAAAAAAAAAAACAGAAATTAAATACAGTATGAAATCGAAGTAGTACGACAAAACAAAACGCCGTCGTTTCAATATTTGTTCTGGTCCTGTTTCTCCGCCGACCTTTGCCCGGAGTCCACCGCATCTTCATCCATAACCTTCTCCCAATCTTCTCTCGCCTGCTTCTTCACATGATCCTCTATATAATCATCCACGTCATCCTCCTCCGATTTCCCCACCACCGTCTCCTTAATCTTCTGCGTCGTGTCCTTCGCCGCACCCCACGCGCCCTGCACCGTCTGCTTCGCCTTCTCCGTTATGCTCTCCGCCGTCTCCGCCACCTTCCCCGCCACACCCTTCGTCGTCTCCTTCGCGCCTCGCGCCGCGTCCTTCATCTTCTGCTCGGCGGCTCCGGCGGCGTCCATCGCCTTGTCCTCGGCCGCGTGGGCCTGCTCTTTCCTCTTCTCCGCCATGTTTCCGGCGGACTCCTTCGTATTCTCCTTCATCTCGTAAGCCTTGTCGGCCATGGGGCCCAGCTTCTCCTTCGTCTTCTCGTTCATCTCGTTTGCTTTCTCCGTCACCTTCTCCTTTGCATCGCGGGCGGCGTCTGCCAGACTGTCCTTGGCTTCTTTGGCTTTTCCGGCCGCCGTGTCTTTGGCTTCTCTAGCTTTGTCGCCGGCCTTCGCGGCGGCGCCGCTCGCCTTGTCCTTCATTTCGCCGGTGTTGTCCTTAGCTTTGTCCTTCAATTCTCGAGTCTTGTCTTTAGCTTTGTCCATGGTTTTCCTGACTTCGTCTTGGGGTTCTTCCACAGATTCGTCGGCGTTGTACGGACTGTACTCTCTTCTCCGGTCATCTTCCGCCGTTCGTCCCTTACATCAATTAAATATACATATCAATATATAATAATTACAAAAAAATCAACACAAAAAGAATGCATATGTTAATAATAACCTCGGGAAATCGGGAAGCGGAAGTGAAGGAAACCCTAGAAACCTTGTGGTGAAGATGGAGGGAGGGGTATTTCTGGGAAAATGACTTTGAAAGGTTTAGTATTGCTGTTTTGGTTATAGCCATGGCCGCCATTTTTGCCACCTTTGATTTTTCTTTTTCTTTTTCTTTTCTTTTTTTCTCTTTCTTTTTTTGCAGATTTTGGTGGGTAATAAGAGATATATTTTCTGTGTTTCTGTTCAGTAAGGAGGAAGGTGGTTTGTTATAAGGTGTTAGAACAGAGAAAGGTGGCAATGCAGAAAGTGGACACGTGTATTTGAGGAGTGCCACGTTTTCATGCACAACTCCTGCCACTCAAACACATATCAACTCTTTCCATTTATTTTATTTCATTATTTATTTTTGAATTGTTATTGCAATCAGTTATATATCGTGGTAAGTTATGAGGTTGGAGGTTTAATGGAAGATATGCCCAAAGTTTATCCAATATTAATTCATTATTCATCAATTACTTTGAGAAAGTAGTTAGCTGTATTTCTTTTTAATATTCAATTTTTTATTTATAAACTAATTGATGTTAATAAAAGGTTAACAAAAGTTAATTATGAAAAAGAATTGATCCAATATACCTGTATATTTTCTCAAGCTAATATTTTTTGACTTTTATGAATTTAACACTATGTAAAATTAAAATTAAATCATATGTTTTATAAACAATAAATAATTTCATCCAATATTTAAAAAAAAAAATATAATCTTAAATATTATTTAAGGTATGAATAATACTATGAGTTTGACTATATTAATAACACTATCTAACTATATACACCGGGCGAAATACACCAAGTAGATCTTTACCATTCATATGCACACAAAAAAACACACACATTGATGTGTAGATTACAGTAAAAAATCACCCGATATAACCTTCACCGGGTGTAGCATAAAAATAACCATGACTATAGTAGTTGAACGGGTAGATCAATTTAAAATAATAAACAAAAATGGGTAGAATTGAAATTGAAATTTATCCTTAATTTATTTATATTCCAATAAGACCACAAAATATGTTTACATCCAACTATGTATTAAGAAGCACATTAATTAAATGTTACACTCCACTAATGAATAATTAAACGAAGATTTGAAATAAAGTTTAATTAAGATTTGTTGTCATCAATAGGGCGCCAGTTGACATCCAAACCTTGATCTTCATCAATGGGTTTCCCGCCAACACCTGCATCTTTAGCAAATTTCTTCTTAATTTCATATTCGTCTTCTTCATTTTCATTCCTCCAGCCCTCCATTATTGGCTCCTCCTTACTCGTATGTTCCGAAACATCTGCGAATTTGCCTCCGGTTTTCTTGGTGCTGTTATATATGCATGCTTTCTTTTACCTTCTCAGTTATTTCACTTTTGCTCTGTGACGAATAATTATAATTATAATAATTATTATTATTATAATTGTTGTAGAAAATCCTGCGGCTTTCTCTACTTAAAACGACGCCGTATCGGTTCCTTCTTGATAGATTGAACATGGCGGATTTCATCAAATACATCTTCCTCTGTTTTGTTTGTTTTGTTTGTACTGTGTGTAGTATGTATGTATCCTTCGTCTTCTTGCCATTTACCCTGGTTTTCGGTCGGAAAATTATTTGAGTAAAAGTACCCCTGTATAATTTCAAAATAGCAGAAACTCCCCTGTGATAAACAAATTAGCAAAAACCCCATGTGAAATTTTTTAAATAGCACACTTCACCCCTAATTAATTTAAACATTGACCAAGAGTAAAAAGACATAAATACCCTGGTATATCTATGACAAATATACAAATGACATTTACAATTCTCGGATAAATATTTTAAATTCTTATATTTATAAATAGTTTATCTATTTTATTTTTATTATAACTTTTAATCAGAAAAGTAGAATAGGTTTCTTTTTTATTTTATTTTTAAATTATCATAGAAGTTCTTTATTTTAAATTATGTAAAAACAGAAGAACTTAATTTTACAAAATTAAATTATCAAAAAATAAATTTACAAAATTATGTATTTCTTTATTTTGAATTATCTTAAAAAAGAAAACATAATTAATTTTTGATTACTAAAATTTTATAATATTTCAATTTAATTGGTTTATAAAAAAAAAAAAAAAAAATCAGAAGAAAAGAAGATAATTTTTTTTTTTGATAATTAGAAAAGAAGATAAGTTGAATCATCATCGTCTTCAACAAATTGAATCCCGTTGCCATCTCTAATAACACCACTATGACCTTCACAGTAAGAAATTAAATAAAAAACAACAAAAGAAAAAAAAATCCAATCTTTCTTTTCGTCCAGATCCAAAAGTAAATTCAAAGAAAAAATAGGCGGAAAGATTTGAGCATCAAGCTCGTTTTCCTTGTGCAAAAACTAGCAAAATCCCCAATACAATTCTACAAAATCCGTCCAACACCAACGAAGATTTCAGATGTGGTGGAGAAAGGCTCGAACATCTTGTAATCGGGGTTGTAGGGCTTCGCAGAGCATCAATTCGTGCCGCCGCCGCCGTAGAAGATTAGCTGCTTCCGACATTCCCCAATCTCCTGAAGCTTATCCAATCGTCGGCCCCTTGTGCGTCCTCATGATGTGTTCTTCACGCGGCGGCGGTCGCAGCGGCTATTGTGCTGCAGTGTGGGAGGTGGCAACACATATTAATATATTTTGAGGGGCAATTATGTAATTTTAGGTCTAAAAATCCGTCACCAGACGCACATATAGAGAGTGTGGCACACGAAAGTGCATTAGGGGTTTTTCTGCCTTTGATTAAATTTCACAGGGGGGTTTTTGCTAGTTTATTTATCAAAAGAGGATTTGTGCTATTTTCAAATTACACAGGGGTAGTTTTTGCAGTTTACTAAAATTATTTTGCATGCAATAATGTGGCAGAAAGAATCTGTTGACACGTGGATTTTTCATTTTGGTGAATCACAAATCAGTTCTTGAAAGCCCAAATCTAGAGTTGGACTTTTTATATATGGGCTGGAATAGTTCTTGAAAGCCCAAAACCTGAAGTTGGGCTTCTTGTATACGGGCTGGATTAGTTCATGAAAGCCCAAATAAGAACTTGGGGTTTTTATATATGGGCTGGTTTAATTCTTGAAAGCCCAAATCTGAAATTGAGGCTTTTTATATATGGGCTAGATTAGTTCTTAAGAGCCCAAATATAAAATTGGGCGTTTTACATACAGGTTGGATTAGGTTCTTGAAAGCCTCAATCTGAAGCTTTTTATATATTGGCTGGATTATTTCTTGAAAGCTCGAATCTGTAGTTGGGCTTTTTTTATATGGGCTGGATTATTTCTTGACAGCCCATATCTGAAGTTGGGTTAAATATATGGGCTGGATTAGTTCTTGAAAGCCCAAAACTAAAGTTGGGCTTTTCATATATTGGCTGGGTTAGGTTCTTGAAAGCCCAAATCCGAAATTGAGCTTTGTATATATGGGCTGGATTAGTTCTTGAAAGCCCAAATCGGAAGTTGGGGTTTTAGATAAAAGGGGCTCAAATGTTTATTTTATAAACAAGCCCAAAATTGCTAATCCACCTTGTACAGCTCACTCCCTTAACATCGTCCCATCAAATCACTTAAAGCCCAAAACAGATTCAATCTGGACCGTTGGTGGATAATTCTCGATCTCAATCATTCACGCTCCATATATATATATATATATATATATATATATATATATATATATATATATATATATATATATATATATATATATAATTATATATATACACAGAGAGAGAGAGAGCCCTTGTAGCAGCGCAAATATATGGTTGTTTTTTTTTATTAAAACTTAGTCTGCGTTAGTACTTTTGCGCGCGGGAAGTACATTTGCGCACCTAAATCAGACGTGAATTGGGCTTTTCAGCGTCCAAATTAGTCGCGAGTCGCATTTTCGCGATTTATAGAAAAAAAACGAACTAACTTTACTTCATTGGGTTCCGTATCTCGATCCTCATTCAATGGACTCATATTTCTTTGTAAATCGCTACAATTACATGGGTTTTGGAACGATTTCTAATATAAAAAAATATTAAAAATAAAATTATATAGAGAGAAAGATAAATGAGATTGGATTTTTTAAACCCGCAGTCGTAATTTTGTTAACGCGAATATCACCTCCCATATATGTCCTCTTTCTTTTGTCATCTAATACTTGACGGGTCAACCCATTTATTTACGGGCCTTTTTTTATTTGGGCCAACCCAATTTTACGATCGGGGCCCTGCCCAAATTTAGGCCCATTGTCATCTAATACTTGACGGGTCAACCCATTTATTTACGGGCCTTTTTTTATTTGGGCCAACCCAATTTTATGATCCGACCCCTGCCCAAATTCAGGCCCATATTGATTTTTATGGATTCTTCAAATGCAAACTTGCACCAATGGTGAGGTAGCGGACCCGGACCTGGTGCCCACAAGGAACCAATTCTCATTGGAGTTGAAATTCCCACACTGCAGCTTCCAGGATTCGATCCTAGGACCTTGCACCAACTTACCATCTCCGAAACCAGTTGACATACACTTTTGCGAGCTCTTCAAATGCAAACTTATTTTTATTTAAATAGGAGAGAGTTAGCAAACTTATTAATAAACACATCACAGAAGCTTACATGACCAAAAGTCAAACTCAAAAGCGATTTTTAAATTTATAAAAGCAGAAATTAAATACAGTGTGAAATCATAGACGACAAAACAAAACGCGGCCGTTTCAATATTTGTTCTGGTCCTGTTTCTCCGCTGACCGCTGCCCGCTCCTTCCTTTATCCATAACCGGGCAAACAGCATAAAACCCCCTATGTTAAAGAAAATCTGCACTAAATCCCCTGTATTTTTTTTCTTACGTAAAAACCCCTTTGTGTTTTATTTTACATTGCACGGAATCTCTTTTTTCCATTAAAACTTACCACGGTTAACTATAGAAGAAATTTTATGCAATTTTCTATAACATAGGGGATTTAATGCATAATTTATACAATACAAGGGGATATTACGCAAAATAAATCTATTCATTCGAAATTTTAACATTATTTTCTTAAATTATGTCGAACACATTTATTCCGTTACAATATGAAAAATATAAATTTAAAGGTATTGTGAGTAACACAATATAATTTATTAATGTATTTAAGAATTTTAATTTTTTAAAATATATAATTATTTTATTAGAATTATCATTTATTTTTGTAATTTATTATAGATTAATTATATGTAAAAATAACATAAATAATTCGAGAATTCGTTGAATCTTCCTTCTCGAATATTACTTTTTTCAATTTTTATATTTTAAATTAATATATATATATATATATATATATATATATATATATATATATATATATATATTAAGCTTAATTTAAAAAAAATTAATTTAAATAAATAGATTAATTTTGCGTAGAACCCCTTGACTTGAAAAACCATGCACCAAATCCCAATAGTTAGTTATAACAAACTTATATAAAATTCCCTCTATAGTTAATGATGTTAAATTTTAACAGAATTTCGCGCAAAGTAAAACAATACATAAGGGAATTTTACACAATAAAGAGAAATTTGCGCAAAGCAAAATAATACACATGGAATTTTACCCAAGGAAAAAAATACAATACAGGGGATTTGACGCAGGTTCCATTAACACAGTGGGTTATGTTGTTTACCCTCTATAACCTTCTCCCAATCAACTCCCGCTTCTTCACGTGATCCTCCACATCATCCTCCTCCGATTTCCTCACCGATCTTCTCGGTAGTGTCCTTCGCCGCCTCCCACGCGCCCTGCACGGTCTGCTTCGCCTTCTCCGTAATGCTCTCCGCCGTCTCCGCCACCTTCCCCGCCACACCCTTCGTCGTCTCCTCCGCGTCGCGCGCCACCTCCTTCATCTTCTGCCCGGCGGCTCCGGCGGCGTCCACGGCCTGCTCTTTTCTCTTGTCGGCAATGTTTCCGGCGGACTCCATCGTTTTCTCTTTCATCTCGTAGGCCTTGTCGGCCATGGAGCCCAAATTCTCCTTTGTCTTCTCGTTCATCTCGTTTGCTTTCTCCGTCACATTCTCTTTTGCACCTCGGGCGGCGTCGCCCAAACCGTCCTTAGCTTCTTCAACCTTTCCGGCCGCCGCATCTTTCGCTTCTGTAGCTTTGTCACCGACCTCCGCGGCGGCGCCGCCCGCCTTGTCCTTCATTTGATCGGTGTACTCCGTAGCTTTGCCCTTCATTTCTTGGAACTTGTCTTTTGCTTTGTCCACCGATTCGACGGCGTTGTACGGACTCTTCTCTCTTCTCCGGTCATCTTCCGCCGTTCGTCCCTTACATCAATTAAATATACATATTAATATATAATAATACCAAAATAAAAAAAATGAAGAAAAAAATAATTGATATATTAATAATAACCTCGGGAAATCTGGAAGCGGAAGCGAAGGAAACCCTAGAGAGCTTGTGGTGAAGATGGATGGAGGGGTATTTCTGGGAAAATGAATTTGAAAGGTTTAGCATTGCAGTTTTGGTTATAGCCATGGCCGCCATTTTTACCACCTTTGATTTTTTCTTCCTTTTTTTTTTTGCAAACTTTTGTCGGTAATATGAGATATAATAATATCTGAGATGCTGTTCAGTATGGAGGAAGGTGGTGTGTTATAAGGTGTTAGAACAGAGATAGTTGGCCATGCCAAAAGTCGACACGTGTATAGAGAGTGCCACGTGTTATGCTTACTTTCTTATCTCCTGCCGACCTCTTCAACCCTACACAGTGATAAACACCGGGTGTGGGTTTTCTGTTGCCACGTATCTATTTTTTATATTATAATATATTCTCCGCTAGGTTTATCTTTCGAATTTTTTGAAAAATAAAAAAGAAAGAACATCTAGCAGCAGAAGATCCACACGGTGTTTATTACTGGGTGTAGGGTCGAGGGAGCCGAAACAAATATCACTCTTTCCATTTTATTTTTATTTTAATTTTGAATTGTCATTGCAATCAGTGATATTTATATTGCGTGGCAATTATGTGGTTGGAGTTTTTAATAGGAAGATATGGCCAAATTTTATCCAATATGAATTCATTATTCATCAATTACGTTGACAAAAGTTAGCTGTGTTTTTCTTTATGTTCAATTTTTGTTTATAAACTACTTGATGTAGATAAAAGGTTTTATCAAAAATTATTATGAAAAAAATAAAAATTGACTCCAATAAATACCTAAATATTTTCTCAAGCTAAATTATTTATTTTTTATTTAAAATTGACTTTATGAAATATAACATTATGAAAAAAAATTAAAATTAAATCATATGTTTAATGAAATAAATAATTTCATCCAATAGTATTTAAGGTATGAAATAATACTATGAGTTTGACTATAGTCATAAGACTCATAACACTATCTGGCTACAATAGTTTAAATGGGTAGAATTTAAATTAATAATAATAAACAAAAATGGGTAGAATTGAAATTGAAATTTATCCTTAATTTATTTATATTCCAATAAGACCACAAAATATGTTTACATCCAACTATGTATTAAGAAGCACATTAATTAAATGTTACACTCCACTAATGAATAATTAAACGAAGATTAATTAAGATTTGAAATAAAGTTTAATTAAGATTTGTTGTCATCAATAGGGCGCCAGTTGACATCCAAACCTTGATCTTCATCAATGGGTTTCCCGCCAACACCTGCATCTTTCGCAAATTTCTTCTTAATTTCATCTTCGTCTTCTTCATTTTCATTCCTCCAGCCCTCCATTATTGGCTCCTCCTTACTCGTATGTTCCGAAACATCTGCGAATTTGCCTCCGGTTTTCTTGGTGCTGTTATATATGCATGCTTTCTTTTACCTTCTCAGTTATTTCACTTTTGCTCTGTGACGAATAATTATAATTATAATTATAATAATTATTATTATTATAATTGTTGTAGAAAATCCTGCGGCTTTCTCTACTTAAAACGACGCCGTATCGGTTCCTTCTTGATAGATTGAACATGGCGGATTTCATCAAATACATCTTCCTCTGTTTTGTTTGTTAGTTCGTACTGTGTGTAGCAGTAGTAGTATGTATCCTTCGTCTTCTTGCCATTTACCCTGGTTTTCGGTCGGAAAATTATGCATACAATTATGTGGCAGAAAGAAGCTGTTGACACGTGGAGGCCTAGTGACACGTGGACATTCATTTTCGTGAATGTCAAATCAGTTCTTGAAAGCCCAAATCTGAAATTGGGGTTTTATATATGGGCTGGGTTAGGTTCTTGAAAGTCCAAATCTGAAATGGATTAGTTTCTTCAAAGTCAAAACCAGTTAAGAAAATAATAATATGCCACATCTTCGATTATTTTGTAGTTTTTCTTTTTATACAATAAGGATAGAACATTATTGTGATGCTAAATTGAGTAAAATTATTTGCTCACGTGAACTTATTCAGCTCAAGATTTGCACATGAGTAACTCGTGACATGTTCCGTTTTAGCGCTTTTTTTTTTTTTCGAGTTTTACTGCTGTCTATCATTTTTATTGTTTAATTCAGCAATAATTTTAAATAAGTTTAGATAAAATTCGGAAAATTAAGCATGAAAAAGAAAAAGCCTGCTGGCACGAAACAGGTTTCGGTTGCACACATTTGTCTCAAGCAGTAACACTTAATTAAATTACGATATAATAATTCGATTACTCTACTTCAATAACCCAGTGGTCATCGCCTCCAGGACTCCAAACCTTATTTATCGTAGTTGGGTTCCAGTTATTGATTCACTGCAAAAATATTTGAATGATTATATTAGATTTCACGAATTAAATCCAATAGTTCATCCACCGAGAGAATACTAATAATCAAGCCACATTGAGGGAGAACAAAAAAATCAAACAGCAGATTTTTGCACAAGAATTGCACACGTGAATAAATAACTTGCGACATTTTCCAGTTTTGCACAATAATTGCACACACGAGTAACTCGAAACGTTTTCCATTTCGGCGCAAGATTTAACATATCTTCTTAATTATGTATAGTAAATGCTGGATATCGATAATTGTATACACATCCTCACATGTGCAAATTACGAAAGTAAAAGAAGATAAAACTTGCCTTCATCCGTGATTTCATCTTGGCTTTTCATCGTTCGAGAAGAACAACTTAAAAGCTTCATCCCTTGCTTTCTCCTTTCCCGTATTCTTTTCAATCTACAACTCAAACAGACAAATCGTGACCAGAAAAAAAAAAGACAAAAAACGTGAGGAAGAAATTGCATGTTCCTGCCCACAGCAGATTGCTGCTTTCCCCTATACCGTGCTCTATAACTACCAACCAAAGTGCATTTTAAGTGCAGAATTTCCTAAGCTTTATAATCCATAATAGCTGGTGTACAATTTTTAAAACAGAACTTACGAATACGAGTATTTTTATAACTCGAGCCTCGAATTAATTTAATATACCTGCAAATGTTTCTGCTTTGAGCCATCGTGAAAAAGAACGGGGCTAACCATCTGGTTGGAACTTCCAATTGCCGCCAAATCAGGTCCAGTATAGTGTGGAAAACGGGCTGCATATTTCTGCTGATAATTTACTTGAGTATAGTCAGCACGTCCAACTCCCTGACAGTAAGACCCGACATGAAAGAACAATTGAATTCAGAATAAGAAATAAAAAAAAAAAAAAATTATTTGAAATACAAATTATCTCATGCTCTTACAGCAAACGAAAACCTCTGTGGGGTGATTAAGTTGATTCCACCCATCCCTGAAAAGTTCAATTGAAAAGGTAAGACAAAAACAAATCGATTTATAATATGTAGGAAACACAGCATATACGTGAACTAATCCAAGTTTCTCACGATCGGCACTAAATCAACACTTAATCAGCGCTAAATCAGTACAAATTCTGCGCTAAATCAGCACAAAAGTTCTGATGTGAATCGTCATGCCGCAAGAAAATAATAAACATGCCAATGTGCAAGCAAATGATTCCAGTTTGACTATATATGCATAGATCCAGTATCGAACATGTTTCATTGCCGTAATAATGTAGATGTAAGACATCTTTTTCAAACACACATAAATTTCATGAGTTTATGCGTAAAATGGATAGCAAAGTCATCATCAAACCTTTTAGTTAGTCAACTTTACTAACTCGATCGCTTAGATTTGAGAAGGAATCAATCAAGCATAAAATTGCGTAATTCATACTTCCAATCAATTTTCTAATCCATTAGGAATGGAAATCACAAACGAAGACCGTGAAATAATAAATGACAAGTTTATTGGTTCAGCCAAATTTGGCTACATCCACAACACGGGGACGAGAGTCTGTCAATTTCAGAAAGAGGTACAAAGAAATCATAAATTACACCTGTAATAAGAAGTCGGCCAAATCTCATTAATAATCTTTCATATTAGTCTTATTTTACTCCATCTCTATAACGTGTCTCTACACATGGCCAAAATTCTTTAGTTTTATTTCCTTACATGGCCAAGTATGCGAGCTCATTTTGACGAAAGAATTGTCTTTAAGCTCATTGAACACAAAATTGAAAGCATAACATATATTTAAATCCCAAAACACTTTCCTTAACAAGACAACGGTCCGCATACATTTTTGGCCATGCATATGAGGTGGTTGATCTTTTGATGTGCAAATAAACTCATATACAAGTATTACCCTTTCTTCAACAAGTTCCACATTGTTGCGAGATATTGTCAACCATCAATTGTAATAACATTAAGATAGTTGATCGAGCTACAAAACATCAAAACCTTGAATAATATGTTGAAGATGTGATTCCAACAAGCAATAATTCATGAGACGTTGCTCTTTACTCTAAAAATTGGCACAAAATCTCTTTCACAAAACACGTAGAGGTGTTTTAACGCTTTTGAACAAAAAAAATCAAATCTATAACTTCTCTATTTCTCCAATGACGGATAATTTCAAGCTCTCGACAACGCCATAGACTAAGGAGAAGGTTGAATCCATATCTTGTGTTCCATATGCTAGTGCACTCGATAGATAAATACATGCCATGGTGCGCATAGGCCATATATTGAGCATGTTTTAAGTGTGGTATCATCCACATAGGAGATCGCGGAAAAGTTCATTTGCTAGAACTAAAGTGGAGTTCACGCTAGAAAATGTATTAGTGAAGTTAGATTAGTTTATGGGATATCCAATGATGCCACAACAAGTGTTTTCTCGTATGAAGATTCAAATCACGACGGAGACAAGAGATCTTTCGTACCGCACATTTTATATTCACTTTTTATGAATGTGCTATTAGTTGGAAGCCGACATCGCGAACAAAGTCTCGGCGTTCTCTCCCATTAATGTAGGCAAATTACCAAATTGTGTAGATGTATGTGTACTCTACAATTTGGTTGCGTAAGGAGATTAAATTTAAGTTGGACCATTCTCGACCTCTTCAATCTTCATAGAAATTTGGTTCGCATCATTACTTAGTATTATGCTAATCGCGGTTGAACAAGAGAAACATATGCAATCGCGCGCTTGTAATATGAACACTTATTATCATGTCTTTCTTCGAGTAAGGGCAATGAAGGAGATCAAGAGAAACATATGCAATCGCGCGCTTGTAATATGAACACTTATTTTCATGTCTTTCTTCGAATACGGGCAATGAAGGAGATGGAACACTTGGAATCAACATAATACTAGAACAATGAAAACAACCGTTAGCGACCTCTCTATTCTTTCTAGAAACTTGCTTCATCAACATCATTCGTTATTATGCAAATAACGGTTACGGGAAAGTTGTGTATTGTTTGTAATATGCACACTTTTTTCATGTTTGTCGACGGGGACAATGATGGAGATGGAGAACTTGGAATCAATATCATTTTAACACTATGAAACCAACTCGGTTCAAAATATAAGTTTAAGATCCGAAAAAATAACCCCAATAGATTGAAAGATATATTAGTGCTTTAGTCCTTCCACACTAAGCTGCCTTTTTCCGAAAGCTCCAAGACACCACATTTCATTCAATTTGTTGTGGTTTCAATATGGTTTCAATGATGAAAAAACATAAACAACTACCAATTAAGTTGTATCTTACTTTCCAAATCTCGGTTAGATTAAGCATTGACGGTTTAACGCTAGTTGGAATATTGTGTATGCTTAAAGTCACCAAGGAGCTATAGCTAACGATAGTGAAGCTAATGGATATGGTATATGGTAATTGATACTTATAACTTACCATCCTAGGACAATGATACAATTAGTACTACCAATGGGAGTGGTGATAGCTTCTACTTGATATAAATGTTATCAACCATAGTAGTTAATTGGAATCTACAATGATCGAAGCTAAATCTTAACCTACTTAAACCACAAACCCATGCATACACTATTTTAACGTACCTAAACACATGTATACACTATTTTGTGCAACATAGTAGTTGAAAGATTTCATTATATTTTGAAAGCTAAAGCCAAGCTACGCCATCTTATTGAATCCCACATAAGTAATGCTAAAACGAGTCAAAATCACAAGGAAGAAATAAATTAAAAACTTCACGACTGGTCCAGCGAAAAGAAAAATACAAAAATAAGTTAACGATTGAGTTTTTATGTCAAAAGGCCAACAAAGTTTCTAAACACCATGCTTTTGAAAATATTAGCTTCTCAGGTCGCTCCTCTGTCACCACAAGTTCTTGAATTCAGGAGCTCGTATCAGATTCATCAGAACATGACGAGTTGGAACTTGATGAAGAGCCTAATACCAGAATAAAAGCAACGGGCTTTTCATTATCCACTGACCGACAAACTCTAAAAACATTTGGATAGTATTCGGCATATTGCCCTACAACAACCAGAGTGCGATAGCCGTATATGCCAACATAAACATAACTTGCAAGTGTATAAAAAAAAGTGTTGTAGAGAGCAATGTTTCTTGCACATCCTCGTATCCCAGAATTTCACCTCTTCATTTTAACTTAAGACACTTCGGAAAGAAATTTATGTGAACATCATTAAGACCCTAAACTAAATCAAGTTCCTCCTTAAACCATCTTTAAAGGAACTTTGACAGGCAGAAATATCAACTTCTGCTGACCCCGTGTCAGAATTAGGGCAAGAACAAGAAAACTCCGTGAAGGAGTTTTTACAAGACAATCACCAGATATGAAAGACTACAAAAACGCAAACATGCAAGTTCTACATCTAGCAATTCAGATTGTATATGTGAAGGTGAGTTGATTTGCCTAAGAAGTTTACAATATATTCAGTCAAGTAATCAGCCTACATGTTTTATTAAAGCCAACAAAAAGATATGAGAGATTCAAGATGATGAAAAGGCAAGTATACGAACCAGTTTCTTCAGTTTCGAGTTCCTCTTGTTTCGGCGCATGAGGAGTTATCCTTGCAATGGTTGATCTCAAACTAGTCTCAACGCCGCCATCCTACAGAATACGTAAAATATATTTTGTCATCTTCCCTTTTTTCTATGATCGTAGTCCATCGATCGTATATAAATTTACACATACTATGGTAGCAGAAAATGGCCTCTTATTATTAGCGTTTTTCTCAGAATGGCTGCAAAAAAAAGGATATCACATTTAAACATATTAGCATTAGCATCTGGTATCAAATGAATGAACTTGAAAAGGAAAGAAAATATCTTCTTCGCTTCTTCTTACCTAGTATAACTCGGAACAAACAGAGCAAATAGAGATGCTCGATAATAACATGCAAGTTAGCGTAACATTAATCAGATAACAAACAGCGGATTCGATAAAACATTTACCTGGTACTGATCGAAGCTGGAATCACTTGGGCTACTTGATCAACATCAAGAAGATGTGAATTATTATCGAGGCCTACGGGAGGAAGCTTAGGGAGAGCTTGTAGCTCACGAATTCTCTCAGCAATAAAACTTGTTGCAGTTTGCTCTTCCTTCGCATTGTTGTCTGAAACAGGAGTCGATTCTAACGTATTTGGATCGAATTCTGCCCTCTGCATCGAAACAGAACTTTGCAGCAAATTCTCCATATCTTGCATCGACATTGTTGTTGGATTGACAGTTTGTAGCAGATTAAGAAGTCCTGGATTTCGCGTTGCTGCACAAATGTTCTGCAGCTGCATCATTTCGTTCAAATCTGGCATGGGCGGAACAGGACGAACATTTTGCAGCACATTTTCAGCTCCCTCGATTGCCTGAAAATTTACGGGAAAATCACATTGAATGCACGAGAATCACAACTTTTATTCTAGATAGATGAATGTGATTAAACAGTAAATAAAATTAAGATTGATGTAATATAACTACCTCGGAGGGGGAGACTGATGTTGTTCGGGTGTTCTTCGCAAGTCTACCGGTGTATACATCCCAAAACAAGGACCACCACTCCACCAGAAACCCTTCAGCAGAACCGATCTCTGGAAAAAAAAATTGGAAATTAAGAAATTATGAACCAAATTGCAAACCCTAATCCTATAACTGAAGCACCAAGTTTTTAAAATTACAGAGAAAAAATATAGAGATACCAAATCGACCTGCTGAAATATGTACTTAAAATACTTTAAATCATGAGACGAGCATGTAGACGAAGTGTGAGTAGCTGATCGATCGAGGGTTTTTACAACGTAAGGCACAACCTCGGATAACATATCCATTTTACCAGGCAGACAGCAAATTAAATTTACCAGACTACCAACACCCCTCACCCAACCTCTCCGACCGGAATCAGGGAAAAATAACCGGATTATTGTTATCCTCCGACGAACTCTGCCGCCGGCACAAACCCTTGGTTCGAGTTAGTAATGAAGGAAGGGGAAAATCGAATTCGTTTACTCCACGTTGGCAGAATGTTATTTTTATTTTTTTTATTTTTTTTTATTATTCCTTTGTCAAGTGTGACACACACACACGTGTCAATTTTTAGCTAAATTTAAAATAATAATAAATAAATAAATAACGTCAAATAAGCACTAAAATATAAACGAAATCAAATTTTCAAATTATCAGAATTTCTTTTTGGTAACTTTTAATTACAAGAACTAATTTTTTTTTCTGTTCAATCAAAATTTAGATTAACGAAAAAGTAATGCAATTCGTGTTTTTATTTTCTATATTTTTTCTTTATCTGGACTCTATCATTTCAAATTAAAAATATTTTGAAATTGAGAAAATGTAATTGGAAAATAATAAAAAGATTATTAATTAAAATTAAAAGGATGTACATCCCTCTCATAAAGAGACATAATGAAAGGCATTATCTATATATAATGGTGAAACTTATCTTTTAAATTTAATTAGTAATTAATATGATAACATCCTTAAACCAATAAAGATTTGTCCAAAAATCTAAGGAAGAAAGGAAAAAATTGAACAATGAAAACCAACCAGATAGAAATGTTCATACTCAACAAAGTTGCAGAATTAAGTAATACATTGTTTATCATTTATAACTATAAAAACAAATATATATAATTAAATAATGAAAGTATATTTATATATGTTTAATGAATAAAAAAATCACTAAAAATCAAAAAATTAAATGATATTTACCAACAGTCTTGGGGGTAACACCAGCCTCTCGCATAAAATTCTGAGCTGATTGGTGCATGTTCTTTCTGATCATGTAATCATAAACATACAAGTCCAGCCTGCAAAAAATTAAAAAAAAAAAAAGAAAAAAAAAACCATCAAGAAGATAAATTAAATCAAGAATTGATTGAAAAAAATAATAATTGACATGGAACAATTAATTATATACACAAATCTCACATCTTCTGAGCATTCCAGTCAGCCATTTTTGTATATGACAGAAACTTTAGAAAGAAAATTAAACCCTTGTGATTTAGAGAGAGAGAGAGAGAGAGAGAGAGAGAGAGAGAGAGATTTTAGAGTGAGAGAGTGAGGTGGTGGAGGTGTGTGTGTATATGTTTGTGTGGAGAAAGTTGGTGCGAAAACCATGCAAAAATGTGTATTACTACCACAAAGAAATTAATATAAAGAATCTGCCAACTTATTACAAAAACACCGTTATATAAATTTTTCTGTTATTAATTAAGAGAGTTTTACTGAGAGAAAACAGTTGACCAGCACTTCTGTTTTTTTTTTTTTTTGGTAATGTTACACAAATTTCAAATTAAGATTTAGAAAAAGTTAGGGATATGTTTTTATTTTATTTCGAGTGTAATTTTTTTTTATTTCAAGAAAAAAAAAAGTAAAATTTGGAAGAATACATAATTTGGAGATATGATTTTTTATGTTTGAGATTGTTGCTGAATTCAATGAGAAGTTTTCCAAATGAACGAGCTAGCCATGAAAAAGATACTCCACTTTATTGTAATAAAACAAAAGGAAAAAGCAAATTGTGGTTGAAAATAGGACAAAAAATAATTGGTCTTGCAGATTGCATCAACCATAAATATAATTTATGACAAGACAACGCGAGAATCCTGGTTTTTTCGATGCTAAAAAATATAGATGTATCGGGTAAATTTACACTTTCGTATTATAGTTTGTCATATAAGAGATGTAAATCAAATTAAGCTAACTATATGTGACCACCTCGATCTAGCAATCGTTGGCAAATAAATTTGAATTTTGATTAATTGACACGTACTCATTTGCTCTAACCTTGTAAGTCGTTGCACTATTGGACAAACACAATTAACAAGATTTTTTTAATTTTACTTCTATTTTGCAAATCAAATGCGTTACGAAATTCTTTTCGGTGACTTTTTTTCCTGAAAATAAGTACATATTGCGTTGGATTGTTTTTTTAATAGAAAGAGGAAAATAAATAAAAATATATATTTGACTCGAAGTTTTATTAGATTTTAGTGGAAATTAAATTGCATTGAATTGATACAATCAAATACTAAGAAGGTTTAATAACTAGACACCATATGTGCGTATTGCTTCAATGTGAATTGTATTTAATATATTTGATAATCCTAATTATATTTAAAGTTGATATTTATGTAATTTTTGAAAATTTAAAATGAGTACAGCTACTATTTATTAGGTCTAAAAAATTATCACATTGAATATAATACGGATCTTCAGAAAATTTCATGGATCATATATCTGGTCCAGTCCAGTCAAATAGGCAACCTAAGATCCAACCCGACCCGACCCGCCAACAAATAAATCTCTTATATGGACCCAAAAAGAAATACTGTGTAGTATAATAGTAGAAAGAATAAAGAACCAACTATGTTCAAAGAAGCTAAGCATCTTTTTATCTGAATGGAATATAATCAAAATCATATACAATATATTAGTACAAGAGGCAAAAAGAGAACCATAAGTGGAAGCTGCGATCCTCCGTGAAGCTGTTCGAAGAAATGAAGTTGTTGATGCAGTTACCTTGCTGCTCGTGTTTCTGCTTCGTCAAAACCAAAACCGATAACTCGAAGAAGAAGGAGGAGGAGGAAAAGAAGGAAGGCTGAAGACAGAATTGAAGAGCAGGCTTTTGCAAATGATCGAAACAGAATTGTTCTTGATTTGTAAGGTCTTATGATTATCCATCCGAAATTTTATATAACTGCGTGTATCGGTCAAAATCGAAAAAATGAAATAAAAATCAATTGCTCTTGTTGCTTTTATCCCCAACGTCTCCTTTCGTTAAGCCCATCTCCTGCATTTGATGTTCGACCGATACAAGGCCCGTTTCCGCTAGGAAGCTACATAATAATAGAAAATGATAATGTTACGACACGAGCATGAACAATCAAATCGCAATATAAGACATTAAATAGTCTTCTTTTTTCTCAAGAAAATATATTGAACACCAATACAAAGGAGTTATCGAGAACCACAGACTGATGATTATTATAAACATCGCAAAGGCAAGAAAAGTCGAATTGTTCTCTGTCTTAGTCGACCATCCATAAATCTTGATATATTTAGTTTAATTACGGTTCTTTTCTTTCAGCTGCCAAGTATGTACTTAAAATACTTTAAATCATGAGACGAGCATGTAGACGAAGTGTGAGTAGCTGATCAATCGAGGGTTTTTACAACATAAGACACAGCCTCGGATAACGTATCCATTTTACCACGCACACAGAAAATTAAATATACCAAACCACCACCACAACCCACCCAACCTCTTCGACCGGAATCAGGGAAAAATAACCGGAGTATTGTTATCCTCCGGTGAATTCTGCCGCCGGCGCAAACCCGTGGTTCGAGTTAGTGAGGAACGAAGGGGAGAATCGATTTCGTTTACTCCAGGTTGGCAGAATGTTCAAAGAAACTAATAAACGGCAACAAAGTAATACATTCGTAACTGCGTAAATTCTTAAGTCGGTGACGAACATATAGAACGAAACTAGACTTGTAACACATCGTGTTTTCGTTAGACCACGCAAAAAAATCCCAACTTCAAAATTGGCATGAAAATCAACTTAATTATTGAATGTGTTTCTGGCAATTTGATATAAGCTCCATGAAGCTACTGCTTCAAAATAAAACAGTAGAAATTATAAGCTAACAGAAATCCCAAACTAAACCCTAAGCTACACATATTTAATTAAAATAATTGAAAAAGGAATTAAAAAAATCGAGATCCATAATACCTGCTAAGAAGCACGAAAAGCACGGCGGCGATGAGTACGAGGAAAGTGACGTGGAAAATCAAAGAGGAGTCGCTGAAGGAGAATGCTAAGCTCAGCATAGCAGCGAGGCAAACACCAAGCATCAGAAATGCAATCTTCACTGTGTTCCATGTCGGACCCTGAAATTTCAATTTCCGCCATTAAAGAAGATCAGAGCTTTGTGTAGAAAGTAAGCTGGAATTTAGAGAAAAATATTGAATCTTAATTTAGGGCCAAAAAAAAAAAAAAAAAAAAATTGTTGAAAAATTGGTACAGACGTTGACGCCGGGAGCCAAGGCGCCAAGCATGACTGCTTCAGCTGAAGAGAAACGTTCCTTATTCGACGGTCCACCCTCCATTTTCTTTTGGGGCAATTGGATCTTTGATTTTAGTTTTCCCAGTGTGCGTGTCTCTGTGTGCGGATGCGTATCTGTGTGAGAGAGAGAGGGGAGAGACGAGAGAGAGAGAGAGAGAGAGAGAGAGAGAGGGCCGGGCCGGGCCGAATATCAGAAGATTAACAATTTTCAGGATTATAATATCTTATTTCCGATTAGGGCTGAAAATATACTAAATTATTAATTTGATAATTTAATATTTTATTAAATTATTAAAATTTTGCTAGACTCGATTGTATTAATTTATAGATGTTTAAATGTAATGTTTCGAAAAGTTATGGATAAAATGAAAATCTGGAATTTTCGGAATTATATTAGGAAATTAAGATTAGGTCGAAATTCGAAACCTCATATATACCCCAATATCGACTAAAAAAAGTCAGGAAAATCGAAATTCAGATTATTTTTTAAAATTCTAAATGAAAAAATATTGTTCCACAATCGAGAAATTTCTTATCCGAATCGATGAAATATCGAACAATAGAACCCCCATTTTTTGAGCTATTAAAAGATCAAGAATGTACACACTAAGTCACTATGAACTTCAGTTAGGTAATATCAAGAAAAATTCAACAGTAGAGCAGAAACATCATTTAATCATGTAAACTGTAATAATGATTGATGTAAGTACAAGAAAAAGACCAGTGACTCAGTGAGTTGGCTCAGTTTCCCATATAAGCAGGACCCCATAGCTGCAGTTGCCTCTCTTTGTCTTTAAGATACTGCAGAAGCTGTGGCTCATCATAACTCACAAATCCCCTCTGGTAACTGACACCGTAATTCGTATGCACTTGCGGGCCCCCACCCCCAAAGCAATGCACCATCGGGCTCGGCACAAAACGATTCCCCCATTGATCACACACATCAAATCCCGAAACCTCGTTTGCATGAAAAACATTTCCGAGTGCGGGCCCATTGGTATTAACGCCGCCCATATTCTGACCGTTTCTGTAGTGATAAAGCCATTCCGAAGAACTCATTCCAACAAACGGAGCGTATCCGTCCACGAAACCGATCTGCGGATACACCGCGGGTCGACCCGTGGACCCGCTAACCGGAGCTGCACCTAGAATGCCGTCATCGGGCAAGAAAGGTGCAGACGGTATTACGGGAGCAGCAAAATGAGTGGGATAGGATTCGTTAATGGAGAGATCGAAAAACGGGGTAGAAGATATCTCCTCTATAGGAGTTAGCTTTTTTTGTCTGCTGAAATCTTTCGTGGGCCCCACCGAACCTCCTTCGAATATGGCCCACCCACTGAGTGAGGGAGGTCCGGGGTTCGATGTGGCGGAGCAGAAACTGAAGGAGTCTGTAGTAATATTGTAATTATTATCTTCGGTTTTCTTGCAGGCGGATAGTGACGTGGCACGTCTTAACCGCTCTTCGGAAAGTTCCGTTTGCGAAGAATTTGTTTCTTCGGGATAAAATGCATCCTTAGATATATAAAGTGGCGCTGAATTGCGTCTAGTGATCTTGGGCTTGAAGACGATAACTTCTTCCTCTTCGATTTCTATTGTCATAGGTTGTGTTTTTGGACTAGCAATTTCCGCTTCTCCTTGGTTCCGGAAGCTTCCGGAAAGAGCCATTATTCTCGTGGCAGCAAGAAATATGCGGTGGGAACGAATCTCGTTGCGACACCTGTAGTTGTTGTCCGAGTCGAAATCCAGCTTTTCGTGAGCAACGGTCAACGGATAAAACCCCCGCAACTCGTGGTCTTCCCAAAGGGCGGTACAATAATTAGGAGAACCTCGTTTTTCGCTCTCTCCAATCCGATCCAAGAGATCGGTTAGAGCAGTTAGAAAGTAAGACAGAGCATTCTTAACCCTTTCGTCTGCATCGTGTGGTTTTTGTACCTTGTCGAGCGACCCCACTAGCCACTCTAGAAATACGAGGACAGCTGGCGAAAGCGGGCAAATATTCCTCTGTTTCTCCCTCAGGCACCTCTCCGTGAGCCTGCCCATGAGAATGAATATAGCGGCAAATGCCAGAGGCGTAAAAACGGAATTTATTTGACCGTCTTTTTCTGTTGACTCGTCTCTTTTAGGGGTCTCGTTCGCGCTATGGAGAATGAATATGAATATAGATACGAGTTGAATAGCGCGATAAGGGCCACTTCTAGAAGAATCCATACTTTGGTACGACTCGAAATTCACAGCGAGTTTTGCATCGTCGAATGATAGTAAAGCTTCTAAATTGTGCAACGCGGAAGTTAAAATGCGTGGAAATTCTTCCGAGCTGCATTAGATCATATAGCAACGTTGATTTTAAACAAAATATACGTATGGAGTCGATAATTAAAATTGAAATTGAAACGTAAATGTACCTTGATCTGATTAAAAGGAAGCTTATAGTTCTGACAAGAAACGGCCATAAGTGATCATGTGGAGAGCAATTCTCTTCGTTGCGTGTATTTTGCGAGTAAATTCTTTTCGAAGGGTTTGAGAAATCGAACTGCACCTGATCGGTAGAAACCGACGGCAAATTAATCGACCTGTTCTGCAAATTCAAATCACAGTCGAAATTAATATATATATATGAAGAAAAAATCCTGCAACAAACTAATGTAATTACAAAAATAAATATTTTTTTTACCTCTTCAAATAGTAACATAATGTTTCTCCATGCATCGGGAAAAGGCTCCTTCACCGACAAACTTCGTACACAATGGTACAACGCAAGAAAAGCATCGCCGACATACGTTGCCAATAATGCCAGCTGTACACACACATATACAATATGCTCAAAGTTATCTAAGTATACATGGATGTAAATTACGATATAAATAGTAAATAACGAACCTGGTTATGTGGATTCCCACTATCCGGCCATGTTCTAGAAGCTTCTAGATAGTACTTAGCTGCAGTTGACCATTCGCAAGCATCGGTTTTCTTGACAATCTCGTTGTATCTAGCGAGATCTCCTAGACAAATCAAGAGGCGGTGGCATGTGTGTTGACATTCTTGCGTTTTTAGTTGGTCAACAACGGTCAACAATCTACGATCCTTGATGAAGATTTCCGGAGGGAGCCTGCAAATTTCCCTAATTTTTTTAATTAAGTTCCCGTAGAATTCGCTCGATTCGGATAAGAACGACTTGAATCCTTCCAAGCCTTCGTCCGAAAGTTTGTCATTTTTCAAAATATCTGGATTATTATTGGATATTGGCCTAATTCTTTTACGGAATTCGTTGATGAGCTCGTAATGCAGCTTCCACAAACGGTACTCGATTTCTTGGCGCTCGACCATTGACCGATTGATGTCCAACAGAATATTCTCGTATCCAGCTCGGGTTTTGAGGCATTGATCGAGGACATTTTTGTGTAAGATGCCCTTCGAATGTATCAATGCCAACATCTGTTTCTCCGAATTAATAACCTTCGACATAAAACATAGGAAGATGGTGATTTATTTATTTATTTATTATTTTTTGATATATTTAGAGTTGTTGAAATTAAGTATGTAGTCAAGAAATTACCTCAAGGAAAAACTTCTGCTTTTCCATTTTGTACAAGCTCTTTTTTTCTTTTCTTTTTTTTAATTATCTTTAAATCAGCTGTTAAAAGAAGAAGAACACATTACAATCTAATAATAAAATAACAACAATGATATTATTTAAAAACAAAAAAAAGAAGGAACTCATCTAACTCAATCTCCAGGCAATTCCTGTAATTGCTTAATAATTAATACACCAGCCACAAATTTTATTTTATTTTTTGCTTTTAGAACTAACTATATATATATGAGTTGATGATGATCCCTGAAATAAAGAGGCAGAAAAAACCCTGATTATTTAAAATCATTTTGATCATTATAACTACCTTAACTACTATTGCAAATACTAAAGCCTAAAGTTTATCTGTAATTCAATACTAGCAAGAAAAGAAAAAAAAACATGGAAAAAAAATTAGAATTCGACAATAATTTCAAACTCTAACTTAGGACAACGGAGGGAAGAAATCATGGGAAAAAACATGAGCAATAATTTAACAAAAATTAACCTTGACTTCGTTCAACCAAAACACTACAAAGCCACAGGAAAAAAATAAAAAAATAAATTCTATAAGTCGAGATCAGCTGTATGAACAATATTAAAAAGGCATGAAAAGAAACAGAGTACCTGAAGAAAGATACACTCTTTAGAGAGAGAGAGAGAGAGATGAGAGAGAGAGAGAGAGAGAGAGAGAGAGAGAGAGAGGACGAAAAAACTGAAACTGGGCGCGTGTTCTAGTACTGATCAAAACAGACAAAAAAAAAAAACGAGAAGGTAGTATGTAATATGTATGTTGATGAACTTCAAGAAAAGATTTTTATAGTTGCCCTTTTTTTCCTGGCACTTGCTCTACGTATATTTTTGGATTTCCTCTTTTTTTTTTTCTTAATTTTAATTTAATAATGAGGCAATAAAAAAAAGGAAGACGTTAAAAAGGGTCTGTCATCATAAACATTTTTATTTGAAGAATCACTTGTAATCCAAGCTAATTAATCCCTCTACTTATATACATACATTTTATTATTTGTCACTGTTCTTTTGAACAGTTACAACAGTTGGAGGCTGTTAACAAAGTGGGCCCCGGGTTCAGTGTTTTGTTGCAAATTGATTGGACAAAGGTAATTAGGGAAGCTGCCACTATAATTTCTCCAATTTCATTTTTTTTTTTATTGTAATCATATCTATTTTGCTAAATATATGTTGTAGCACGAAATGTAAACAAAGAATTAATTCCCACCGGATAAGTCCATGGGTAAACGATTAATTATTAATAAATAATTAATTCATAGTCAAATTAATGTAAACAAAAATAGCCCATAATGGGTCGACGTAGTTGGTGTTAGGTTATTGATTTGGTCTATTTCAGACACTTGTTAAAATAACACTCAATAACATTAATTAGTGGGGGGTTTATCCTCTGCGGTTGCGTCTATTTCCAAATGATTGATCTTGGCCGTCGGATCACGCTTTGCCTCATCAAAGATTGAAATATCACCGTCGACATATTGTGGAGAAATTGCTGCTGAATAATGGAAGTTGTTAATTAGTTAAATTGGTGAAAGGTGACCCCTTTGCGGCTATGAGGTCAAAAGTTTGAATAAATAAAGACTTGGCACTAATTGACAAACTCCATGCATAATACTCCTTCTGTTCCATAATAACTGTCTCTTTTTTAAAATATTTTTGTTCCATATTATCTGTCACTTTAGATTTCCAATACTGCATTAAATGCATTTTTTCCTGTTTTAACCTTATTAATTCAATTATAAGTATTAACTCTCTCTTATCACATCATTAAATAATCAAGGTTATTTTAGTCTTTCTAATATATTTTACCTAAAATCAAGACACATTTATTGAGCTTCTTAATCCTTGTGCAAAGCCAAAAACGACACTTAATAGGGAACGGAGGGAGTAACTAGTAAGTCAAGATTTCGCAATTATTGACTCGATTCGCAACTATCGAATGTGAAATTAACTAGCTTGCGAGGCCAATTGTATTAAAACTTTTATGAGAGAAACTGATGATAATAAATATACACAATTTTTTTATATTTGCACATAAATAGTAGGAATTTGAAAATTATTAGGGGGCCATGGCCCCTTTGATCCTATAATGACTCCGCGGGTATATTCACATGGGGCTTTTTATTGGTTTAATTATAAGTGAGATGTGATCAATTAGTGTTCTCAATTTATAAACTCGGTCCATTTCTTGATACAAAAACAGTCTTTTTTGGCCCATGAACAACTGGACCAAGGAAACTAGGCCCATCTCTAAAAACAGATGACGTTTTGTGGGGCCCACTAAAATTTTATTCCTTTTTTTTGGCAAGAGAATATAAAGAATTTTTTATTCAGAAAACATGAAATTAGCATTTTCCCATTTAAAAATATATTTTTTACAAATTTGTATTTTCTTTATCCTTTTTTTTTAAGGAATTTTATATTTTTTTCCAAGTCAAACGAAAATAGAACTGATCCAAGTAATTGGACTGGCCCAATAAGAAAAAAAGGCTTGAATAAAATCAATGGTAGACACTTAAAAAACTAAAAATATCCATTAATTCGTTGTTAGGCTCGATTCTAGAACCTCGTATCAACTTATGTCGCCCTGAATTGAGTTATACATGTCGGGCCCACTTTCTCATTATCTCACCTTTTTCTGTTCGGGTCAAAAGGAGTGTTTGAGTGGGGTTTGATTCATCAAATAAAGAACAACCTCTGCATTATTTTCTTCCGAATTAGTAAAACAAAAGTAGTTCAGTATTATCTGTTTTCTGTTCCAATGGATTAAGTAAGACTATTTGCATTCTTCAACAAAATTAATTAATTGATTTTCCTCAAAAAATTAAATAAATAAATAATTGACAAATAACGCATTCCACAAGGAGTTAATTAATCATTCCCTCCGGTGACTTTTGTCATCAAATTCAGCTTAAATAAAGTAACAAAGCAAAACACGCTTTTTACCATCCCATTACAACCAAAGCAAAACACTTTCGGAAAGTAAGTGCGACTTTTGCGGAAATATCTACTGCAATTAATAAAGAAAGAAACGTACACATAAACGGAAATGAAATCTATTGAACTGAAGCAAAAGATAAAAGATAAATTCCAAAATTACATTTATGACATCAGAAAAACACGACTTTTCCTCCGTGGTTTTAACATTTGAAACCGTACATCATTATTAAATAATTAAATTAATTAAAAAAAAAGGAAGAAAAAAACTCACTCAATATTCACCGGCGACGACTTTAGGTGAGGTAACCGGAAACAAAGGCAAGAGCCGGGGCTCCGATTCTCTCGGGGTATTCGCCGGCGACGGGTGCAAATAAAATCCTTTTTCTTTAATAGCTTTCTCCTCCGCCGTTGTATCCAATTTGCTGTTGCCGGATATGTAACGGTTAAACGGGTCGGGAATAAGTGGAGTAACCGGGCTGAGCGCGAGCGACGGAAAATCAAGTATACTTGGGGAAAGAATCTCCGGCGTTCCGGGTCGTCGGGGCGAACCCGAATACGACCCGAAGAAGAAACCCGTATTCGTGTTAACCAACCCAGGAGGCAACGGACTGATGATCTTGAAGTTTTTTATCATGTTTCTGCGTTCGTAGAGCTTGGAACCGGATTTGTCCTTTCTGGGACCGGTCTTCATTACTGGAATATGGTTTCTGACGGGTTCGGGTCGGGTGGAGAGAGGACTTGTTGTTTCGGTCGAACCGGTTAGCATTTGGACCACCTGTTTGAAGGAGGAAGTGTCTGCCTGGACGAAGGTGGTCGGGTACGGGTTGTTGTTGTTGGAGTCGGATCTCCTAATTGGCACGGAAGGTGGTTGTGGTGACGGCGGCGATAGGCGGTGGCGCTGGCCATTGCTGGTGGTGGTCGAACAAATAGAACTATGGCTGCTTGGAGATGGAATTGGTGATGGGTTTCGGGAACTCTCCATTGATAGATAGTTTTGTGCAGACGAAGAGTTTGAAGAATAAAAGTGGAGAGAGGTAGAAGAAGAAGAAAGAGATGGACTTTTATTTTTATTTTATTTTATTTTTATAATTTTATGCATTACTTGGTAATTTTCTTTGGTTGGTAAGAAACGTTTAGTTGTGTACTTGAGGTCATCTGAGATCATCCTAATCGCATGAGGCGCGCGTGCAAAACTAAATATAACTTTTCAATTTTCATATCACTTTTCTTTATTCCAATTATAAATAAAGAATCTTGAATTATTGCAAATAGATTAGACTTTTCTTAATGCCAATAGCTTTCAATTTTATTTTAAAAACAAATACCAAACCAACGTCTATCCAAACTTCAAATATATCTTAGAGCTGAAGAATTATTCATTTTAGATTATACGCTTTAAGTCACAATTCGTTATAATATTCTCACTTTCTTAGTACATGGTCATCTATGATTAAAGTAAAATTTAGTTACTATAATTTTATTGTAATACAATAAAGTTCTAAACCAATGGGTGAGGTTTAATTTAGCTCATACGGTTCAAATATAATAAGAAAAGGTTAAATATTCACATAACGTGAAAAAAAAAATCAAATAATAGATCAATTGTAATAAAAAATTAAAGGTTAAAAGTACTCTGGTAAATTATTTAGTAAGATATAAAATATACTAATTAGCAATATTGAAAGAAGTGAGGATCACGCGCTTCAAGAGAGAGAGAGTAGAGAGAGAGTGGGATGAGACGAGAGAAAATCACAAGCTGGAACCATGGTATAAATCGGTAGCAGTAATTTGGAACTTATGGTGGGACAGAGAAAGAGAAAGAGAAGAAATTGTCAAAATAAAAATGTCATTATTTAGGATTGACTTGATAGCACCATTTCAATGCTGACCATTAATATATGCTGCTGAGTCTAATGTAATTATTGTGGTGCACTAATCAATGTTTCCCCACCCCCCCACCCCCCCAATTATTTAATTATTTATTTAGTAGAAGCCCATCAGTCTATGAGGGCTATTTCAATTCAAATACACTTGACTTAGGGCTTCTAATATTTAATTAATGACTTGTCCCTTGTCACCTAATTAATTACCATGTCATTCTATATGTTGATCCAATCTATCTCTATTATTTCTATTATTTTAATAAAGACTTTAGAGAAAAGGATTACCAAGTTTACACTAGTCAATACCCATTTAACCAATTTTATTTAAATAATAATTCTAACCTTGAAATATAATGATGTATGATATGACCATTGGGCTTTCATCCAAGAATATTCAGTTGGCCCAACTAATATAATTATCCAAACAAACCTTATCTAATAAAATTAAGTTTGAATTAAATAAAGCCCAATTATTATTTACGGCTTCATCTGATTTTGGGCCTGTCGAGCTTTATTTAATTCAGCCCAATTATTATTCAGGGCTTCATCTGATTTTGGGCCTGTCCAGCTTTATTTAATTTGGCCCAACATAAGGTAATTTACTTATTTTGGGTCGGTGGATCAAACTTTACATTTATAACTAGTACTTCACCCGTACGTTGCACGGAGGTTAGTTTTAAATGATAAAATAA